AGCCCTCCCCGCCCCCCCTCCTCTTCCTCGCGCTGTCATCGTCATCCTCCACTCTTGCGAGGACGGAAACTCCTCCGTTTTGGGGTGCGCCCGGGTGGGAGCGGCGCGTTTCGGGGACCCCCTCCATCCTGCCCGCATCCTTTGAGCGGTACGTGGTGGGAGGCGGGGCCGTGCTGCCCCGTCTCTCTCGGAGTGCCTGTGTGGGACAAGGGGGTCAATATGCGGCAGAAAGCAAAGCTGCTTTCAGTAGCACGGGCGTTCAGAAACCCCGAGCCCACACAGCTTGTAAAAGTAATACGTTTGGGGGTTTTTTTCCGCTTGCCTTCGGGGCTTTAAGCCTGCCAGGAGGTTGCAGGTTGGGTTTTGAAACTCTGCTCCGTCAGCGCTAGGATTGGAAAAGCGTCTTTCTCGGTGTCTCACGGTTTCGGGTGCGTGCGGTGCCAGCGCTCTGGGAGGGGAGCGCGCTCATGGGGATGTCCCTGGCGTGTTCGGGGACCGTGGGCTGTGGGGAGCAGTGGGAGCATCCTGGGACCCCCCTGGACTGAACCCTTCTCGTCTGGTCGTCTTTGGCCGCGTGAAACTGGCCTTACTGGGTGAGCTGGCCCATGTCCTGTAGCACGTCGAAGCGTCAGCCCTCGATGCCAGCCTTGCTCATGACCCGTGTTCACACGGCCGGGTTCGCTGCTCTGTGGCAGAGCTGCAGCCCCGGGAGGCCGCTGCCGGCTGATGGGTTCCCGCTGCACCCGGGCTGCTGTGTCTGAACGAGAGTTTGCTGCCTGTAAAATCCTCCTTTTGCTCCCCCTCTCCCTTCCACGAGTCTCCCCCAGCCCCAAGGCCGTTTTTCCACTGCCAGCACTCCTGCCACCTGCTTCCCTCCCTGCGCTGGTGTTGCCTCCATCTCCATCCCCACTGCCCTTACCCTCTTTCCCAGTACCTGCCGTAGAGCTCCCTGCTTTAGCCCGAGGAGCTGCTGGGTTTGCTGGACTGTGCTCGGCCCCTGCCTGCGCGCTGAGGACCGTGTAGTTCCCACGGTGACCAGGGATGCTCCTCGGGTGTTCCTCCTCCTCCCATCTCACCCGTCGGCCCTCGTCTCTCCTGCAGGCGACCAAGCAGTTCCTGGAGGAGATCAACAAGTGGACGGGCCAGTACAATGTGTCCCCGCTGTCCTGGAACGTGGCCGTCAAGTTCCTTATGGCCCGCAAGTTCGACGTCCTGCGGGCCATCGAGCTCTTTCACTCCTACCGGGTAAGCGAGCGGGGCCGGGTCCCCCCCGGCCAAGGGCTTTCCACTCTGTGAGAGATCTCTGGTCCCAAGGAAGACCCTCCCCTTGCTTTTTTTTCTTTCCTCACCCTCCCTTATGGGTTTTAGCCGGCTGGAAAATCCTTTCTCAGCCAAGGCGAGTCACCATGGAGATCTCGCCGACCCCAATCTCCTCCCCTCCGCTGAGAGCAGCGTGCGTGCTCGCAGGGTGCCCTCCCGGCTGGCCTGCAGAGCATCCCCCCAAATATAAAGGGTATATATGCATATATACCTTTCCCACAACGGTTTTGCAAAGCTGCTTTTCCCCGTGCTGGGAGTTGTGGTGCTGCAGCCGGTTGCAATCCCCTGCTGGAAAATGGGGCTGTGGAGCGGAGGTTTCCCTGCTGGGGCCTCCCTCGGAGGGCTGGGTGCCCCACGGGGACATGATGGTGGGTGGAGGGCTGGGGTGCCCGTGCCGGCCGTCACGCCGGCTCCCTGCCCGCAGGAGACGCGGCTGAAGGAGGGCATCGTGAAGCTGAAGCCTCACGAGGAGCCGCTGCGCTCGGAGCTACTCAGCGGCAAGTTCACCATTCTGGTAGGTGGAGGTGTCGCCCCCGAATTACCCCACCTGGGACCCCGCGCGGGCGTCCTCGGGTGCCGTGGGAGCCTGACCTTGTTTCTTCGCCAGAGCGTGCGGGACCCGTCGGGAGCCTCCATCGCCCTCTTCACGGCCAAGCTGCACCACCCCAGCAAGAGTGTGCAGCACGTGGTGCTCCAGGCGCTCTTCTACCTGCTGGACCGAGCGGTGGAGAGGTGAGCCGGGGTACCGTGTCTTACGGCGGCGGGTCCCCGGGGAGCCCCTTCCCTCCCAGGGGCGAGGGGAGAGGCTCCTGCTTGCTCAGATTTTGATGAAATCCCTCCGAAAGGCTTCGCAGGGAAAAGATGTGCCGTCTCTCCCATGAACGTGAATTCCTGAAGGTGAAATTGTGGCTGAGTCTGTCTGCGTGCCTCCGGGTGTCCCATCTCTGGTTAGGGAAGAGAAGGGGGTCACGGCTCCCCCTGGCTTGAAATTCCCTGTCTTCCTCTGGTTTGAGTTGAAGCCAGTCATCCCCATGGAGGCATTGAGCAAAATCCCCCGAGCCCTGAACCAGGCTCTTCGCAGCCTTTCCCTGCCCATGTCCAGGTTTCGGTTTAGCAAAGCCCCTGATTCCTGCAGGCTTCGGCCGGGGAGGAGCCAGCCCCGCCGCCGGCGGGACGTAACGTGAGCCCTGCCAAAAATATAAAGCCAGGATGTCCCATTCATCCTGCTGGGCTCTTTCCATTTCTGAACTTGCCCATCATGGGCGGTGCAGCTGAGACAGGCTTAAGACATGAGACAGGCTTAAATAAGGGTTGTAGGAAGAGGTGGTGGAGCAGCTGGGAAATGCAGAAACGACCTTTGGGTCTGTGAGTCCTTCTGGAAGCACAGAAGGGGATTTTTTTGGGGTCAGCAAGCTGAAGATGAGGCTAGCGTGGGGCAGGTCTGCTCATGCAGGAGCCGAGCAGTTGGTTGTTGCAGGGCTGACGTTGCTCTTTCCCCCCTCTCAGCTTTGAAACCCAGAGGAACGGGCTGGTGTTCATCTACGACATGGCGGGCTCGCAGTACACCAACTTCGAGCTGGACCTCAGCAAGAAGATCCTCAACCTGCTGAAGGTAACGGCCGGGGGTGACCCGGTGTCCGGGGATGTCACGCGGGCCAGTCGCTCAACGAGTATGTGAACTCCTGTGGTTTTGGCATAAATTCTCGTGCCAGACCACGCTGACCACGTCTGGGATGAGGAGCACCGGCTCCAGCCCCGTAGGAGCTCAGGAAGGCGTTGGGAGCCTGCCAGGCTGGACCCGGCCGGGGCTGCCTTGTCCTGTGGGTGGGAGGGGATCAGCTGTCCCCGTGCCGGATTCCTCTCGCAGCTGCTGGCAGAGCTTTTGGGAAAACAGATGCAAATTATTTTTTAATCGTGCTGGCATTTTGTGCCTCCTCCCTTCTCCGGAAAAAAGAAATAACAGTAAATATTGGCCAGGGGATGTTCTCCATACAAATCCCAGCTCCCAGGCTTCACCTCTCCCCGGTGGAGCCAAACCCTCTGCCTACCTAATCCCAAGGAAATAATTTGTTTCCGTATCGGAGCATAAAAATAAGCACGGCTGTGGGCTGCCGGCTCTGTGCGAGGCACGCTTCGGATGCGGCATTGCCACCTCGGGGGGTCCCTTTGCTGGTCGTCACCTCTGCTGGGACGTGTGTGTGTGTGTGTGTGTCCCCACCCCGGCAGAGTGCCGAGAGGGGCCGGTTCCTTCCCGGCGGCATGGATCTGACCCCCTCCTGCCCGCAGGGTGCCTTCCCGGCTCGGCTCAAGAAGGTTTTCATCGTGGGAGCGCCCATGTGGTTTCGCGTGCCCTACTCCATCATCAGCCTGCTGCTGAAGGAGAAGCTGCGGGAGCGGGTGAGCATGCCCCCTCCGCCCCCCCCCCAGCACGGGACCCTCGGCGGGGAGGGCTGAGGCTGTTTTCCCTTTGGGACAGGCTGCACCCCCCAGCCCCGTCCGCCGGAAGCTGCTGAGCCTAAATCCGCGGGAAATGGAGGCTTTCTCAGCCCGTTTCGTAGGGGCTAAGCTGTTTCGGTATTTTCAGCAAATATCTGAACCCCTTTTGAAATCGCCCTCGATTTCTTCCTCTGCGGTGAGGCTGCCAGCAGCAGCAAGCGGAGGCGATGGTAAATGATTAAAGGGAAGGGAAACCTCTGCTGAGCACGCAGGAGAAAAGGGGAACTTACATACCTGCGCTCAGGCCCTATCTGGCAAAGCCAAAAATACCTACAGCGGTATCCTCAGCGGTGCTGCTGATAGAGCCCGCTTCCAGCCCGATGTCTCCCTGGGCTGGACTTTGCCCCTCTGCTTTTGGGAGGAGCTCGGAGCCACTTGCAAATTAGGAGCTGGGTGTCGGTGTGGGCTCCTGTGGGGTACGTGGGAGGGCCAGGCCCTGACCCACCGCTGGTGTTCCCCTGGGTGCCGTCCCGGGGCAGGGGAGGAAGGGGGAAGACCCCGATGCTGTTGGGGGGGAAATCTCTGGGCTCCATCGGGACCGTGCCAGACCGTTGGCATCCCTGTCCCCATCCCCAGCAAACCCTCTCCATCTTTCTGGGAGTCACCCCCGCTCCTCCTCTTCCTCCCACAGGTGCAGATGGTGAAGATGTCGGAGCTGAAGGAGCACCTGCCCCGGGAGTGCCTCCCCGAGTACCTCGGGGGGTCCCTCAAACTGGACCCTCTGAGCTGGAACTGCCGGTTCCTGCCCCAGCAGAACGGGCACCCCGACCCCCTGGACGAGCTCATCCTGGTGCCGCTGGTGGCCCCCAAAGATAACGGCTCCGTCCACGTTCCTGGGCCCCACAAGCAGGCGGGGCATCTACGAAGAGTATGAAGATATTCGGCGCAGGAGCCCAGCCGGCACCTTTGTCTGCTCTCTGTGAGTCGGGGGGGGGGAGCCGGGTGCGGGCCAGCATGGGGGCCCCCCTCTCTCGCTCCAAAAAAGCTGGGTCCCCCCTCCTCCCCGCGCTTCTGCTGCTCGCTGGTGGCCCATCTGCCTCTTTAGGGTGCGGTGGTTTGGGTTAGCAATGGAAACCCCCGGCCTAGTGATGCTGCGAACTCCCTTTGCGGCTCCCGCAGCCCCGGGGGGTAGGAGGGAGCAGCGCAGGGGGCAGCGGGGGGGAGGGCCTGGCCGGGGATCC